ACAAGACACGATTTTTCCCTACTCTTCTCACAAACTCTGCAACGAAGAATTACATTTTCACAAATATTCATGTCGCAACAGAAAAGATATCGTTCGATGTAAAAGGGCAAAAAATGTTATACCATCATAGTTCTTTATTAATCCGAAACAATGTTTTCCATATTAATCCAGAAAGAAATTTTCTCTGTTGAGTCTTGATCGAAACGATATCTCATTTCCGTCGTGAACAAACTCCGCCTCTCACGTAAAGATTTCATCAAGATATTAAATACTGTCTAGCAGTCGAAAACGATGTGCGAAGATAGAGGTATTTTCAAAGATGTGTTTTATCGTGGAAAAAATGCGGGCAAAGTCAAGAGATCGTTTTTCGCAATCGCCTTGTTTTTTGTTTTTGTTTTTTTTTTTTCCATCGGCGATCGGAATCACGTGTTCGTGACCGCACCTCTCTCGCGAGATAAATTTAATCGCTGCGGGATTATTGCACCATGTCGCGTCGTAATATCTCGCGGAATAAGTGCGAATTACGCTCGCGCGTATTACGTGTTTCGCTTACACGTTTAACAGGGCGTGAACAATCACGTCCATGAAGATCATCCGCGACGTGTACGTACCCTTAACATCGAATTTAACACAACAATAGCAATTACACGAGTTCCGCAAACGTTTACGTTTATTTCACCGCGCGGTTAGATGGCCGCGAACGACCATCCAATAACATCGCTAAATGATTATCAGATATTATTCGATAATATTTGTTAAATATATAACCATCATCATATCGGGAGATGCGTTCGGGTCGCATGCATCGCTCACCACTCGTCGAATCGCGCGTCCGTCTCATCGCGATCTAACGCGTCGTGCGACAGATCACGTTGGATCCTTTCCCGATCCACGCATCGTCCGTTCATCGTGTAGCCATGATATACTGACAATGGGCCCTCTTGTGTTCACATAAAGCACTTGGAACGCGTCTGGAATTCCATCGGCGCGAATCCCGTCGTGGAGACGCCCGTCGACGTCGCGGAGCCCATCATGCCGGACGGGACGCCGACACCGACGCCTCCGACGCCGACGCCGACGCCGACGCCGACACCGACGCCGGTAGTCGATACCGTGTTGGTCCCAGGCTCTTCCTTCACGTTTACCACTGCGACAATCGGCAGATCCCAGTAAGATCATTAAAAAATTGCATGTATGACGATATTTAAAAAATGATCCGCGAAAATAATTTTCCTCGAATATGATTATTGTGTGATTAAAAATTAAAAATAAAATTGATAGGACTCAGCAGATTAAAAATCAATAGAGTAAATAAAAGGATTTATGAGTTAAATGTAGGTGCTAAAATATATAAAATTTATTTTACATTTTATTTGTTCAAAAAATGTTGTAAATTTTAATTTAAACAATTTATATTTGGACAATATATATTTTAGTATTTACATCTAACTTGAGTTCATAAGTTTTTTTATTTTTTCTATTATTACTTGTCCTTCAGATATTGCTCTTAAAATCAACAAATGATGTGTTCTAAGAGAGACCGCGTGGAAATTCTGCAAACTCTTTAGAGTCGCGTTGAAACGTTAGGTTCTCAATTTTTATTAAAAATCGCACTCACTTTCAGGCCAGTAGCATCTTCCGGGCATTGTATCCGTGGTCATCGCGGACTCGTGCCTCCTGCCGCAAGCGGCGAAACTGCTGCCGAAGGAGCCGCCGCCCATGGAACCGGGCGATCCGGACGTTCCACCTGGAACATCCAGGTAATTGCCTTGAAACGCTTTGTCTGGTCGTTCAGCATTACCCCGCTCGACAAAAGAGGGTGCAAAGTGCGAGAATAGTGACTCACTTAACGAGGTACCCAGCTGACTGTATCCGTTCATAGCCGGGATTTGCATCGACTGCATTGGCTGCAATTGCGGCTGCAGCTGTAATCAAGGAGATTACAACTCCAATGATTCGATTGGGATCGGATTTTAACATAATATTTATTATAGATATTTGAGTATGTTTTATATTATTATATAAAATGTATAATCATATATTTTGATATAAACAAATTTTTTTTAATTATACTTTGCGGAGAAGAAAAATGCATTCAAAAATCTAAAAGAAGATGTCATATGAATATAGCTTGTTTAAAATTTCGTTCTCCTCATAGTAAATTAAAAAAAAACACTAAAAAATATATTCTAATTATTTTGATATAGATAAAGATTCATTTTATATAGGTTTAATTTATGAAAAAATTAAGTTGTGTATAACCACGATTTTTAATATGATAACTCACCGATTGACAATGGCTGTACGAAAGTTGCGACTGTTGAAGACTCCATGCGCTAAAACGGAAAAAAGTTTAATGCTAATTCAGAAAGGGATATATTATTACAAACAAAACATACACATATTGTTAATTTTTTAAAGTCTTATTTTTAAATTTTTAGTCGAACTAAAGACACGTAAGCTGTGATAATTATTGCATTCGCATACATTCTAAAAAATATGAATACCTCGTGTCGTATCGCGTATAAGCGGTAGGGGCGTACGAAGGGGGTGAATGACCGAAAATGTTTCTATGAGGCAAATGCACGTGAGTCGTTGAGAACGGATCACCGAAGATCGATTTGTGATACGGAGCATTTCTGTAAGGACGCTTCATTCGTCTTCGTCTTCGGTAATTGCCATTCTCGAACATATCTTCATATTGCGGATCTATCATGAAAAAATACAATAAACTCACATTAAGATTTAAGCTTAACATCATTAAAAAATATAATCATTTAATTAAATAATAACTCTGAGGAAAAAAATATTTCATTTTTGTATCAATAATAATTATGAATCAATATTTCTTTTTTTTATATGGACGATTTATAAGCATATAAAAACCAAAGATAAAAAATTCGGAAATTGAAAACCTAGACAAGTTCGAAAATTAAGAAATTAGTGCAATTAAATCCGCTAAATAAATTTCCAATAATTCCCTTCACAATTAACTTATTTCATGATATAGAAATGGATAAATTAGACGTATAAATATTTTGTAAACAACGTTAACCAACCGAGTGTCCAGAAGTTGCCCTTCCTCTCGCCGCCACCCTCCCGGGGTACTTTGACGAAGCATTCGTTCAACGACAAATTATGCCTAATCGAATTCTGCCATCCCTTCTTGTTCTTCTCGAAGTACGGGAACTTGGCGGTGATGTAGGTGTAAATCTCGCTGAGGGTCGCCCTTTTGTGTTCACTGTGCTGTATCGCCATGGCGATCAGGGCGACATAGCTGTAGGGCGGTTTGCTGTTTGTGGCGGAGGAACCGCCGTTGGTACCGTTGTTCGTACCGGATGCGACGGTGGTCGCGATATTGTCGGCGATAGCTACGGTGGGCGTGGAGGGTGCGGACGGCGTGGAGGGATTGCTATTGGTCGTGCTGTGAAGAGCACCCACGGGCGACGAACCCTTGTCGTCCAGGTGATGGTGAGTCGAGCCAGCGGTGGTGGTGGTGGTGGTGTGCATAGAGACTACGGAGTTTGTGCTGTGCAGACTATGATGGGGATGGTGGTGATGATGGCTCTGGAGGGAGACATGATGCGACGTTAAATTTCGGCCTATACTGCCGGGAACCGACGAGGACTCGAGATCCTTCGGGATGCCGCCGATGCAGCTATTCTGCAGCTCCGATACGAAACCGCTCACTGAAATAATAAGAGAAATTCCACGCTATTCTTACATCGATGATTTATATTATAAAAGAGAAATTCTTTTACTATCTCGTCCGGTGCGAAGGATTTTTCATGTTTCTTAAAATAAAATTTATGGCGATATTTTTAGAGTTCTCAGTATACTTTGTTCCATCTGGAAAAATATTTCTCTCTTTACAAAATTTTAGAGTTTGCTCTTTTCGATGTAAAATTTAAAAAAACAACAAATTTTCTATTGACCAATTACTTGTTCGATGATAAAAATTCTTAAATTTCTATAGCTCACGCAATTTCTAGTTTTACATTCATCAATTTAACTTTTGATGGAGGAAGCATTTGTGATTAAATTGTGACGTCAACGAGGTTAGCGTCGAAAAACCGAGGCGAGCGATCGTGAATTCCGAGACAATGATCGAACATCATGGCGGCCACTCCGAGAATCTGGACAATGGGGTTGAACGCTCGCTGCTTCATTTCATCATCGATCGACTGATTCGCTCGCGCGTAACTTGTAACACAATTCTCAGAAATCTCCGGGCAAAACAATTGACCTATTTAAGAGGAACTTGTGTCTCGGGACACCCGAAGCCCGTACGGGTTTTATGTTTAGTGCCAGGAGTCGATATACGAAGCGATAAAGCACCAACGCGAGAGAACGAGCACTCCGACGATATTGAGATACGTTCCTCAAATTAAGCCTTGACGAATGCAAGTTTAGACGTCTGACTAACTTAGAAAGGATTTTTGGACTCGTCTTAAAAAATTTTCTAAGCCTACGATATACGCGGTAATAGAAAACAATAATGCAAAATCAACAAGGTAATAGTAAAAACATTGATCTTTGACAATGTAAACTACCACTGTCGAAGTACATTTGCAAAGAGTATAAAAAAATTCGGGGAATATAGAATATAATGCGAACCGATATTTTGCTCGTGTTATGCAAAAATGTGATAACACGTTGCAGCAATATTGAATTTTTTTTTTCACAATGTATGAAGCTTGCGGGCGTAGCTTCCATTAAAACAGTGCGATAATCTGTTTTTTGCGACGCGATATAATCGCAAAACGGAAAATGCCGGAAAGAAAGACGGTGGGGGAGGAGAGCAAGAGGAGGGGGGGGGGAGGGAGAGGAGAGAGAGAGAGAGAGCGTGCGTACTCGGAAGTGCTGCTGCACGAGAGCACGCGGGGGATGGTATCGAATGCATCGGTGCCCCGCGGCACGTGTAACTGGAACTGGATGTAACAGGACACCGATAACTTACGTGCGCACTGCCGCGGGCGAAATAGGGAAAGAGGAAGAAAAAGAGAGAAGCGGGGATAAAAGCGATGTACCCGGGGCGATGGAAAATACGAAGGAGCAGGCGGAAGAGTGAAAATCAGCTCGGCCGGCCGGCCGGCCGGCCGGCGGAAATTTATCTAATTATGTAACATAAACAAGACAATCGTAATGTTCCATTATCGTATTCTCTCGCGCGCGGAGTAATTGCCTAACAACGAAATCTCGTGAGAAATGGTTAATAATAATAGAAACGTTTTTTTTTAAATCTCTTTTTGTAGATTAACGTTTTATTTTTAAATTAATTTTTTTCTAACTTTTGGGACTTAAGAAAATAAAAACTAAGATTAAAGGTAATCTGACACATTGGACAGAAATGGACATTGCAATATTACAATGGAAAATAATATTGTTCTTATAAAAGAGATTTTCATCGTTACGAGAACACGAAGTATAGAGTGATCACGAAGAAGTCACGTTGACGAACAAATTTACGGTTTACACCACCGTGTAATTGACATCGTACTACGAGTCGTTAACCGTGGACGTTAACGGCCGTACAAATTGCTTCGCACACGCGTAAAGCTCGAGCGAGAAATCCTCAAGGTGCAAAATGACGATCGTAAGGAAAGCGGAGAAATGGACTATATATCTTATAAAATCTCCTCGTATCGCTCGTGTATCGGTGACACCGGAAACACGTGATATAAACGACACGTATGACATAAAGGATTGTGTCCTTAAAATTATTATCACCTCTAAAATTATAAATCATTAATATTTAGAAAACTAACGAAGCAAATGTAGATCATTGCTCTTGTGTCTCTTTTTTCATAAATTTTAATAAATATTATTAAAAGCTAAATGTTACAGGAACATAACACAGTTCTATTGAATTCATTTCGAGATATTTATTTTTCAATTTTACATGCGATTCGAAACTGTCAAGCATATAAATAGAAAAATTATATTGAAATTA